ACAGCTGTAAGTGCCCCCTCTACAGGTCAGTAAATGAAGACAGTGATATTATGTTGTTTTGAAGGTAGAAAGCTTAAACATATGACTAGTAGTAAAAAGTAGTAATATATAGATAAAGACATATATATAGCAAAAGAAATGAAAAAATCAAGTTTGCAAAAAAATTATATATATATTTTTTTGTTTTTTTATAGAAATTTAGCCAAATGTGGATTAAGATTTGGATTTTTTGTCACATAAGACTCATGCCAAAGATCCTGTTAATGCCATTTAAAAAGTATCAACAGGACAAATCTGGTCAGCATATGATGACACCACTCAGAGGCACAATCTGTATCTGGCCAAACACTAAGTACAGAGTGTTCATATTTAAATAAAAAGAAAGACATTTCTGCCAAGAGCAGGAGACACTTTTGTAATGGAGCATCACTGCCTCACGTAATATTGTATTCACAGCAGCAGCAGCATTCTGGGGCACCATGGGGGGGATAAGACCAGAGCAGGGTCAGTTAGCTCGGCCTCCATGTCTCTTCCTACTACCATTCAAATACTCCTCTTAAGAACCACCCTTAAAGCGACTTCCTCCCTGTCCTCGACCTGTGTTTTCAACCATGACAGTAATTACCCATATTTAATTAGAGACCCAACATGCCACGCTGAGCAGGGAAGAAAAAACTAAAACGAAAGAAAGCGTTGACTGTGGGGCGATGGCAACAACAAATTAGATTAATGTTAATTTTAAAACCTTGTTAAATGTACTGTACTGGTTTGATGTAAGTATCATTGCTAGCATTTCAAAATTAATGAACACAATCTAATCTGGTTTGTCAGGTCTACAGTTGACAGGTTGACTGACAAACTGTCAAATGGATTGGACAGAACTACAGACTGATCATTGTTGAAAACAACGACTTCACTGAAGTTTTGAAAGAATCCAGATTCTCAACATGTTCTACAGGCTAGCATCAAGATGCTCAGTAATGACTACAACCCACCAACTCTATAAAAATAAAATTAATTAGATTTTTCCTTATTATTTGATAATAATTTCATCAGTCATTCATTAGTCCCAAATAAAAACAGGTGTGAAACACAGACATCTAACTGCTGTTGTTTGTCTTCCTGTCCCAATAATATACAGAATTTCTTTTTAGCAAAATCAGGAATGCATTTAGAGTAATCATGACTAATCATCAGTTATGATTATTCATGAGTCTCCACAGCTACCCTGAAATAGATCAGGTCAAACATTTGAACTGTTTGCTCTTGTTCATGAAGGGTTACTTGTNAGTCAAACATTTGAACTGCTCTTGTTCATGAAGGGTTACTTGTTGCCCCCACGGTTAGAAGGCACATTCTTACATCCACTGACTAGCATCCAGTAATTACTAGCTTTGAGTTCTGAATTAATTCTGTTTTCTTGTAGCATATGTGTTGACCAAGAGTTAAGTGTGAGGACGAAGTCATTCTAACTGTTCTCTGCAGGAGAGAGTGCAGAAGCTAATCACTCTGCCTTTACCAAAACAAACCTAAAACTTCTGCGTACTCTACCTTTACACACAGTTCTGTTTTGCCTTGTCTGGTTCTGTGCCCTCGAGGAAACTCTGGTAAAGAATGATTGAGGAAGGGCAAAGATTAGAAGAAGAAGAATTAATTATTATGCATTTGTGTTTCAGGTCAGTACTTTACACGGCTCCTTTCCTGCACTAATAGACAAATTGCATAATTGTCTCCGAAGAGAAAGTGGGAGGAGGACAGACATGAGGTCACCTCCTCTGTCACACAGCAAAAGCCGCGTGGACAGATAATTGTGAGCGGCTCCTGTGGGAGGAGGCAGAAATTTTAGTTTCACAGTAAGACAGATGGCGGCTCATTGTGCTTAAGGAGAGATGTGTTGAGCACATATTATATAATAAATGTCTAATCTGTGTAATGGGCTTATTAGAGACGACGAACGTGGGCGGTTTATTAAATCAAGAATATGGCTGACAGAAGGCATTCTCAAAGCACCGGCCAGATAATAATAATAACTTTTGCACTGGAGGAGGCATTCGGATGTTGTTTTTAATAACTTTTTCAGCTATGTCTTTGATATTTTTCAGATAACTTAGTTAAGCTTTTGGCAATCTCTCAGTTTCTTATATGCAAACCTGTTGAAATATTCAGTCTCTTAGCTAAAGTTGGCAAATGTGGAACTTAAATTTTACTAAATTCTTCACTAACCCTTAGCCATATTGTGAACAAACTCAAAAATATATTCCCTTATTTGTCCCACAGTGGGGGAAATTCACAGTGTGAGTCTTCGCAACCCACACAGGCAGCCACGGGAGGCGCCTCGAGGATGTGGTTTCTCTATTAAGATATAGAAGACTAAGATATCTTATATCTAAATATCTGATGATTCATTTCAAATATGTCCAACCTGCAAAAGCAACACGTAAAACTGATAAAAACAGATAGAAAAGTGCTGGAGCATTTCCCTGGCTGGTTCACACACACCTACCAACTACTGGTTATCAAATCCTACTATAAAGGACATGGTGAGTCATATTTAAGCGAAGAGGCAACACATGACCACCATAAGCAGAAACGGGAGGAGAGAGCAGCACTGGTTGACATGTGACTTCCACACACTCTGAGACACCCACTGAAGTCTTTTTCTATTTAAATTTGTGCTGAGGCAACAGATACGACCTAAACTGTCAAGTGTGGCTCAACCCTGAGGGCCAGAGTGCAGACGGAGCAAAAAAAAAAAGAAAAAAAGCCTCATGCTTCAACAGGCAGAAGCCTGGTGACTGAAGTCATTGGAAGGAAAGGCCGAGATCAACATTTGTCACCGTGTTTATTGAATTGGTGACTTCATCACCTCTGTCATCTGCTAACCCAATATTACAAATCCCTTAAGAGAGAGTGTGCAGAAACACAGACGATGTGAAAGTTTGTTCTTTATCCAAAGCTCTGTGAAAACAGAACGGCAGTAACTCTCGCACTGCAGCCCATTTTCTGTCAAGGACGGCCGAGTAAAAACACTGACAGAGCCAGATTGTGTCAGAGCGAAGCCAAGAAAGAGTGGAGTAGAGCGCAGGTCTATTTAAAGTTCTTAAAACCACTGTCCAGATTCTGAACTTTGTGGAATTCCATTTACTCCCAGTACTCGGTGTCCTGGCCAATGCTATCTAAGCAACATCCGGTGAGCTGGGGAAATCCTGGGACTCAGTACTGGTAGTGCTGCCAGCATCAGGCCTGCTGCCATGAACCTTGATGTCACAGAGCAGAAATGAAGTGCTGCCTCACAGAGAGACCATTACTACAGGAGAAATCAATACACACTTTATCTTTAGTCTTTCTGTAACCCTGGGATTTTATTGACCCAGGCTGGGTATATTACTGTATATACACTCTACTATGTGTATATCTGTGAAATCAGGTTAACATACAGCAATGTAGTTCAGTTTGTATGGACTGCTGTGGATCACAGAGTGGGCCTGTTCGTCTATTTTACCCACATACTGTATGTCCGTGGACCAACCCACTTGTCTACATGCCAGTGTGTGACTGGGGAAGATGTGCGATAGAAGAAGTGCTGACAATACATGACTGTGTGTGTGGGTGAATGGATAAGAGTATGTTGCACTCATGTGTGTATGAGTGCAACTCGAGGAAAATAGGAGCTACAAAAAAGGAGAAAAAAAACAGCCACTACAAATTACCCACTGAGACCACACTATGGTAACAGCACTACAGTTTTGAATGCATTCTAATAAATAATAATACTAAGGCACATGTATCACATGTAAATTTCATACTGAGAAGCTTCATCCAATAACCTGCACAGACACATATGACCAATCAACAGAGCTGTTAGAAAAGAGACAGGTGAACCTGCTTATGATGATAAAAGTGCTTAATACATTTGTTTTGCATTCACTGCAATGAAATATATTATATCTGAAGTCACACAGTAATTACTCCATCCACGTTGCTTAAATACATGGTCGATAAGCACTTTGGTATTTGTGATATGGTCTGTACTCACTTTGTCTGAGTCTAGTAGTTACAGTGGTTTCAATCAATGACTGTGGTTAAATCCACACGTGAAATGAATGATCATCAGCGCCTGTGTGTGATTAGTTGATCCTACACCTCAAATGCTAGAAAAGAAATAATAATATTAAACAAGAATCACTGACAATGGTAAAAAACCTTTCTTACTTTTCAACTTTCCTTCTTTAATGTCTACCAATAACTCTTTCATATAACTGTAATGTTTTGCAGTGGACTTCAATGCACAGAACGACAAGAGTAAATTCCTTATTTGTCAATAATGTGCTTTGCTTTTATAGTCAACAAAACAATAAATCAGGAGTCACCAACTATATTTTACACCTTGGGGTCTGGGCACTAAAATTAAATTAAATAAAAATCACTTTTTTTTCATAAATAGTGGTAATTAACAATAGTTATTTAAGTCTCAGTTGTTGTTTTTTAGTTGCTTTAATAACATAATGTTGGGGCCATATTGGATGGTTCAGTGGGCCAGATTTGGCCCACCGGCCACCAGTTGATAATCACTGCAATAAAGCAACTTGATATATATAAACAATTTACTTTTATTTAATAATTAAATAATTATAATTAATAACGCTGGTTACTGAAAACACTGTAGTTTCCAAAACATAACTCTTGGATACACTCTAAATAAAATGACATGTATTATTGTTGAGGTCCAAGTGAAAAAAAACAAATCATTCTCCTCTGACGCACCAGGCTGGAGTCTAACGCTCTAAACATTCATTTAACCGTAGGATTTATGGGAAATGACTAAAGTCAGCCTCATCAAAAGTTGTTTTCACATTTTCGTCAGCACTGTCCACTTTGTTTGAAAAACCACAGGACGGTAAGACAGATTTTCCACCTTATCCCTGCAACTCAGAAAAGCCGAGAATCAAATAAACACAACTTGATTAAGCTACATCCTAGCATTGAGGCTATCATTTCTCATTTAAGTTTTGGAAGAATAGCTGAAATTTTTTTTTTTTTACTTTTTTTTAATTTACTTCAAATGTACTTAAACAAAAACACATGGTTTTATACAGTCATGGACACTACACAGGGTGTGTGATGTGAAAAGTGAAACCAAGAGACTAATGTGACTCACAGAGAAAATAACAAGCTGGCTGCCTCCAGCAGTGAAAGTAGAAGGATCACACATACAAACACAACATTCTTCCTGATGGGAACCTGGACTCCCACATCCCAGATTTCCCTGCTTTAACACCCCCCCTCTGCCCCATCCCAATAAAACCTATATATATTAATATATATACATATATATTAATCCCACTGTATAAAACCCGTTCAATCACCAAAGCAAGTCAACACGTGTCTTGGTTCATCAGGGACTTTCCCAGACTCACTCAGGAAAGTAACGTCTGAACCTGCTGTGGAGACCTTGGCACCAGGTTCTCTGGGTCTTTATAGGAATTAGTGGGACTGGTCAGCGCTGAGTAAACCTCTCTGTAGGCTCGGCACACCAGCTCTGTTGACTGACGAAAAATCTGCTCCCTGCACAGACAGATGGAATTCTTTCAGATTTTTACTCCAAACAACACAAAGACTTCAGACATAATTTCTCACTCTCCAGGACAGGAAACAAATGATTATTTTGCCCTTTTTTCTGTGCTTATACTGGCTGGAAATAAAGCAGAGCAGAAGGTGTTGAACACTGCCACCTACGGACATATTTACTCTGCATACAAAGAAAAACTGTTTCTCTTGAGCTGTAAAGTAAAAGGTAAAAGGGAACAAAATATGATAATAAAGGTGGGAAGTGTCAGTAAGAAGTTCAAATAGATCCACAAAAGGTAAACTACAAGTATATTTTGGGGGTAACATTCACTTTCATCCCTAGATCTATGACATACTGGCAACAGACAGATACATTTCTGGTTGGAGGAGGGAAGGAGAGTAACTCAGAGACCACAGACACAAATATGATACATCCTTATTTAAACGTCCCCATCAAAAATTAAAAAGTCAAAAACATTTTCTCCATCAGAGTTACTCCATTAGATACATACCATCAACAAGTCAAAGAATTTAACCACAGAGGCTTAAGTCTGTTCTGAAGGTGATAGTGAAGACTCCCAAACAGGTAAAGTGGATAAGGCCACATTGTCCAGAAATGTCAACAAAGGTTTTTAAGTAAACTGTTTAAAAAAAATAATAAAATAAAATAAATAAATAATAATAATAATAATAACACTTTTCATGTTTCTTACCACAATATTAAATATTTTATAATTGAAATATATAAAATATGGCAACTATTATACATTTTGGAAACACAACACAGATGTTAAACAACTAATTTTTTTTCCACGTCTGTTTAAAAGTCGAGTAAACATCTGAATTCCAACCTTTGTGATGATGCACCACATCGTTTTAGGATGAGTCTCAGTGAAGTGGTTTCAGATCAGTTCAAAACAAATGAACACAAATGAATTACAGAACCATGTCTTTATGATCAGACCTAATCTTCGTTGTAACGTTTAGTCAAGACGGACATAAGTCTTAGGAGGAAAATTTGCCAATGTCTATCTGTGTCTATCTACTTCTAGTGGTGTTTAAAAGATAACAAAGCTACATCCATACAGTCTGAGTGAATGAAGTAAAGAATATACTGTCAAGTTTGCACTCAGAGGAAAAGCAGACAGGCAGGAGAAACCCTGTGAGGCCTTTGCGAAACAGTGCAATCGCCTCAGTTGAATCCCATTCACCCTCTTGAGATGGATCTAGTTAATTGGCCCTCAGAGAACCACCCCCACAGTAGAGTCAGTGTGAAACACCTTACTCCAAACGGAGTGCACTTGCACAAAATCTGGTACTACAGGAGGTCTTTTCAAGCGGAACACATTATTAAAGCACTTTGAGAACACATCTGAGTGCTGCCCGGCGGTTTTTGTGCGTTGAGGTGAGCAGAGAAGCAGAAAACAGAGAAAGAGCAGGAGAAAAAGAGAAAAAGGGACGAATAATTCATTGAGGGCATGAGTGTGAGTGAGAAATGGACCAGAAGATAATTAATGGCGTCCTGCCCATCAGTCCTCCCATGTCCATTAATAGAGAACATTAACCTGAGGTACATAGTGCTCCACAAACCTGCTGTACTTCCCAGTAAACGTGACTCACAGAGAGAGCTCTCCAATGTAGCAGATGAACTGAGCTAAAAGCACACACGCTTTCTGATCAGTGAGACAAATGCGGCGCTCGCCCGCTGTGACGGCGGCTCAGGCCATTTAGCATCTAAACTGGCTGTGCATTTAGTTGAGTGTTTTGATTAGAATGCACCAGTGATCACATGGCATCTTGTTAAATTAATGCAGGCAGCACATTTTCTGGTCACTGCTCGTTCTATGGATTTTATTTTTTTTTTATAAAAATTGTGTTTTTCAGTTAAGATAGAAACTCACTTGATGGCGGCGCTCAACAGGAAGTTAAGCTGTGGCATCACCAGAGTGTCAGGTGAAGACAAGTACCGGTCGAACTGGACCTAATGTTGGAGAGATCGTCACAGTTGTGTTACAGTTTTATCTTTTTCTTTTTGTAATTTGAAAGAATGAAAAGTCCAGTGACTCACCATTGCTGCTTTGACTGAAGAGCTGTCCATGCTGGGGAGGAGAGACAGTGGACCCTGGCACAGAGAAGACAAAACAAGTTTTAACTTCAGATTATAGCAATTAAACAACTGTTTCAGCTCAAGACTGAGGTCTGCATGAAGCAGAGGGAAGGTTTTCTCCTGACGACTTTCTTTCCTATTTATGTTTCATACATGGCACTGAGTAAGTGGGATGACCTTTCATTAATATATGCAATAAAAACACAGAGGAATTGACTGACCCATAAAAAACATTAAGAGCTGATGAGGAGTAAAGTCAGTGATTAAGTATATCACAAAATGTATCACATACACTGTACATTTAAAAATGTTCAGGTAATATAAGTAAATATATATTTAACATTTTCAATGTAGGTGGATCACTTTAGCCTGGTCATTTGAATACTAGCTCCCAAACCATAGTAGTGTGGAGTATTGTAAAGCAGATCCATTTGGCTATAAAGCTAAAGATTAGCACAGACTTATCTAACGGTAAGATAACGGTAACTCAAAAGCAAAAACCATTCTGGAATAAGATGAAAAACGAGTCACAACAGTGATCCTGAAAGAAAACAAATGAAGGTCAGTTCATTTCAATATGATCAAACCTCACACAGGATAACATACTGTCCTGATTCTTGCAGATTTCCGCTTGCTACTGATGTGAAGGAAATGTGTTCTTTGTTACTATAAACTCACCAGTGCATTAGGCTGAGATCCTGACTATGAGGCTTTTAAGTAGGAAATACCTGTCTACATAAGAGCTGAACCATTAGTCAGGACCAAACTTGCGAAGACATACTTATTTAAAATAATCTGTTTGCTCTCACTGTTACCTCCTCTAAGCAATATAAAAAAATACTTCTCTATTTATTAGTCATATTTGTGTCCCCTTTGCTTTTAAGCTGTACAAATGAAAGACTTACCACAATTTCTGCTCTTGTTATTGGCATTTACTCAGGCTAAAATAATAAACCTAAAGAATTTGAGTGAGATTAAGAATTTGTAAAAAATAAAAACTAATAAAATGGGAAAAAAACTGCTGCCTAAACCTTGCTGTTCACTGGACCGACTAAATACAGTTCACCACTATCAACGGAAGATACGCCGAAGGCAATTAACTGACTTTAACAGTCCAGAAAGACAACATTAAGTCATGCTAAAACACTGTTACTGCCAACATTAAAAAGCAGCAAACACGCGTAAGTGCAAAGGTCGAAGCACTGCCAAAGTGCTGGGGCTGGTTTTATGGAGATATGCGCACATTTACACACAAATTAGGGGCCTACAAACTCATCTTCTGGATCATAAACATTTTTTTTTATGATTTTTTTATCCACTCCTGGTATATCCCTGAAAACCAGGAAAAACAAAGCTTCGAATGACACATCAAGAAGGAAAATGTGACCCTGGAAAGTTAAAAAAGAGATTGTTTTCGTGCATTTGACATATGCGATGCTGCTGAGTGTCAAAAACCAGACTTAATTATTGCAAACAGGAGACTATTTTAAGAGAAAAAAAAAAACCAAGACAGGCCACCCCAGGAAAGATGGAGTGTGCCGAGAATGACAGCTCTCCATTGAGCTCAGTGTTTAACTGCAGGAACAGCAACAGCTGCATCAGAAGGGTGTGGTGTGTCCCCACATGACCTGAGGTTTCAACAGTCACATGTTGAACCACAACTATGGGTCTCAGTCAGTCAGCCCAGTGGCGTAGTGAGACGGACCAAAGACTTCAGGGCATTGGCTCTCTCATCTGAACAGGACATGTTTGCACAAGCTAATAAAACACAATGCAGGATATAATGACGTGCCTTGCTCTGTAACAAAGCCAATAATTACGCCGTAACCATCAAGACAAATACTGTGAAGCAGACGAAAAGAAGGCGTGAGGGGTTTATGACTAGTTCATGTGTTAACAAAGTTTCAAAAGCTCATTAGCATTCTTATAATGTCGACCTTAAAATGCCTGTATAAACATATGATTAATATTTAAATATTTATAATACTTAAATATCAAGACATTTGTTAAAGTTCTTTTAGAGAATAAAGTCAGATAAGTAGTACATAGTAAAAATGTCCATATAAAACTAATGTAGCTAAAATAAGATTTCTAACATTTAACGCTTAAAAATATGGTTGAACTCCACTCCCAAAAATAAGTTTGGCCAAAAGATAAAAAACTGAAAAACAAACCAGCTCAAGGTTATCTGAAGAACAAAATGAGCAAGAGATAGAAAGAAGTTGAAGGACAATAGATTGGAATTAAATATCTACACAATAGGTGGAAAAGATTTAAAATCTGAAAGTCCAGATGGTTAGGACTAAATAATACTAGATAATATTGATAGGACTGAATAATAAAAGAGGACACGAGTAATATTACCCCGCCTAAACAACATTTTGACAACAATTGTCTGCTAGTTGTGTGAAAAGGGTCGAAGAAAAAAAAAAAGTGAATTTATTGGTATGAGACCTGTTCAGCAGTGTAGTGTTGGACACAGCTGTAGATATAACTCAGTCCAGCTCTGGTCAGCACGTAGGACGCCTGCTCGTTGATCAGCGTGTCAAGGTGAGCCTCGATCTGAAATTGTAGGAGGCAAAAAGAGAGAATGGGTAAAATCCAATCCTACTCCAGCTTTGTTAGCCGATGGCACTTGTGCTTAATGGAGATTCAGTGTGCCATTGATAATGAAACTTTCACAGCAGCTCTTGTGGTACTCCATTACAAAAGACATGCTAAAAATAGAAAACCATTGGACACTATCCAGCATGAACCATAACGTGTGACGCACATTCTTTTCATGGTGCAGGAAAACATATGTTTTATTGTGGAGATGGACTGTATGTCTGTTAATGAATGGGAAAGTATAGTGTTAAAGCCCAACATGTAACGACAATGTGACAAGCAGAAACTCATCAGTCATAACAATAAACATAATGACAGACAAGCTTTGACTTATCAAATTGCTCTACAGTTTGTTTTCATTAAATGTTTGCCCTTGTAATTGTTTATTATATTTCCAACGACTCCTATCACATTCCCTCTTGATTCCACGCTCTTAGTTTAAAGTCATGGCAAACCTGGAACTCCAGCATCTCCAGTCTCTTGTCGGTGAACTCAAAGAGAGCTAGTGTCGTTTTCATCACGTACAGGGAGTTGACCATGTAGGTAGCCATGTCGGCCGTGCCCAGGTTGCTAGCAGAAACTGTACACAGCTGGAGCAGAGGATCCAGGATACAAGACAGAACCTGAGGGAGAGACAGAGAATGGTACAGCAGATGAAGTTCTGCACTCAGTATGTTTCTGTTGTGATGATTTTTTACTGTAGTGTGGTATCATTTTAGGCTTTGACTCACAAGTGTTTTATTTTTATTACAATACTTCAAATGGTGAATAAGGCGGCCATAGTGTCCCTGTTTATAGCATCTGGACTCTACACCATTCCCGATCAGCTTCACTCACTGGGCTGTCAGGATATAAACTCTTAGCTCATCAAGTTGTATAACTATTCAGAAAATGTAACTTTAAAAACAAAAATTTAACCAATTATATTTAATTTTATAAGTATATTGACCGACATCATCATGAGTCTCAACCAATGAAAGAATCTTGGGCAGGACTCTGCAGCCATCATGTATACCATTACCTAAAGATGGTCTGAATATCAGTTAAATAAAATACACACCACAGAAATCCAACAGGTAACATTTTTGTTTGCTAACTAAATATTGCAAATGTAAACACACAGAAAACACAAAAACTCTGACACTGAGAAATCACCACTCTGACCGGTGATGTTCTTGCTGCCGGTGCCCCATAGAATTAAATTGCTTATTTGTTTCAGGACTAGCCCCTGCTGGCTAGTAGTGGTGCTGCAGATGCAATGCGTTTTTTCTGAGGCTAAAAAAAGTTACCACACCCCAAGAAAATAAATCTTTACTGTAGAATATATGTTGGGAATGTGTATTTACTTGTGCAAAGTCAGCCTGACGAGCATCCAGAGGTACTACGGAGGAGTCATGGGAGGCCAGCACCTCCCTGAGGAGGGTCAGTGTCTGCGTGAGGGAGGCTGTAGGTCCCAGGTCTGCGGGTGGAAGCTCAACCTGCCAGGTTAGAAAGTGCAGAATTGGGTCAACAAAAAAGGGTGGGAAATGTAAGTAATCAGAGCTTTGTGTGTTTCAAGAAAGACAAAAGCCTTTCATATTATCCAAGTAGTAATGTTTAATGTGATAGAAATATAACTGCTTCCTGCTGCTACTCTGAGGTGCTGCTCGTTGAGAGTGAGTGGCTCCTTTAACTGAGAGGATTTTGATTTCACTTGTCTCTGGACACAAGACCCAGAGCTGGATCCTGGACACCTCTGTCGACCTAATGGAGCCAATTATGAGAAGACTGTGTTTCTGGCATTAACTGGAATTGACAACAATGGCCAGAGGCCCTCCAATTTGATTAATACCAAGCAACAGGGATAATTCCCCTAACTGCTATTGATCAGCAAAGGGTGAACATGAAATGTAGCGAAGCTACTGCCCGTGCTGAGGTATATTTGGATGCCAATTTAACTAAATGGTGATATGGTGCTTTGGCCAGAAGGCAGGACTGTTTTTAAGGAAGTATTTGATAAGATAATACAGAATAAAATATGATGTTTACTAAGATGAAACTTGGCAAGCTTTGTATATAGCTAAACCTTTAAATAATTCTTTCATTTTTGTCTTTTTTGGTGACTAAGTGCTTCTCTGAAGCCATTAAGTGGATAAGAATAATGTAAAAACCCTTGACAATTTTAAGAGATGGCTGTGAATACTGGTTGAATTGTGCAATGATTTCAAGTGGAGTGCTGATGGAACAACATTTGAAATACCTTGTCCATGAGTTTGCTTGCATGAAGACTCAGACTATTGAAAAACATCTTTTTGCTGAGGACGTGCATTTCCTCAACAGTGATGAGGAAGGAAGCCACACTGGTCCCAATTATAGCGCTGGACAGAGATCAAACGACAACAAGGCAGGCATATGGTTATTATTTAACCAATTATCTTTATTTAGATCAATCAGCTCGTTATACAAAGGTCAGATTCTACAGCAGCTATGACTTTCAACTAAAATATAAAGTTACGGTATTCGTCATTCAAATACCCACTGGCTCTACACAGATAGTCTACCAGCTGTTCCACAACCACAGTCCTCACACCGTTTTTCATCTAACTTGTTGGTTTTTTGGGTCTTGAACTACGAACGCTGCTGTATGCTGCTGTTTTTTTATTTTTTTTTTATTCAACAGATGTTTATGTTTGTTTCATCTCCGTTGAGACAGAACAGCTACCTTGTTGGTCCTGACCTTCAGACTTTTTAGTTTATTTCAAACCAAAATAACAAGTGTGAAATGTGCCTCAGTGCAACAGACCAAACATTGGCCCCATCATAAAAGGTGGTTTTGGCCCAGATCAAGAGAAACCATGGTTTGCTGTGTGTGTGCAGGGGAAGAGACTTTTTGTGTATTTCCTTTGGACTTTTGGACAAACTGGTGGAAGGAGAGAGATGAGAAATAAAAAGACAGAAATGGAAAAAAGAAGGAAATTAACTAAACTTACCAAACACAAAACGTACCATTTAAATTCTTTATTATGATTCATACTCAAAAAGCAGGTGTGTTTGCTATGTTTCTTTATTCAACACGGTCATCCTGTTAAATAAGATTAAGAGATGGCTGCTGTCTATTCTGCCCTACACTGTTCTCTGTTCTCCTATGTTATAACCTTACCACTATGAGAGTGCTGGAGTAATATGGAATTCTAATTCTAAGAGGACTACTGTTGTGAGCAAAAAGTTGCCAGAATGTCCAATAATGTCCTAATAAACAGAAAAATGTGGCATTTTTATATTCTGGCTTTAAAGGGATAATGTACAGTAGAATGAAAAGGTTACTTTAAATTCACTTTACGAGTCACCCTGAAGCCAGTATTTTACAAATACATTCTTTACGTAGTGTTTATATAGGTTTCTAATAGTAGTTCACAACGTTTTACCACAATTTGGCCCATTTTGAGTTAAGAAATACATTTTTTAAAAACTGTATTAAATTGAATTTCATTTACAAACAAGCTAAGAGGATTAGCAGACCAAAGTGTTGAGGCAATGAACTTATAACAAAGGTAGAAGAAAGACTGAAAAAAGGAAGTTCAATAATAAAGCAGAGATAAATGAAAATTTAAAATGTGAAAGAAAGGTGCTGTTCTGAGCTGAGCTACATGCTGAATGCAAACAGAAATTGTGTTCTGTTAACACTGTGCCCCGTGGTTGAATGTGAAATGAAGGTGCTGTTCTGAGCTGAGCTACTTGCTGAATGCAAACAGAAACTGTGTTCTGTTAACACTGTGCCCCGTGGGAAACAAGGAGTTGCAATTTATATCTGCATTACTGTGGTGATCTCTTGACACATTCTGAAAATAACACCTAAAAGCAGGTGTACTTAAATGTTTCAATATGTGTGTGATCAGAAAGGACATCCTGTACTGAACGGTGAGTGACAAAGACATATACTAATATACGCCTTATATATGCTGTCCACAACAACATTTTCTATTGCTGCACTCAGAGTTAGCCGAGGGGTTGAAGCCAAGCCCAGCAGCCGTTGGGCAAAACATGAATTAGACGTTGGACAGTTAACCAGGGCCACATATGGAGACAACAAATCACTCACCCTTTTAGCCCCATTTCTGCTTATACTGAAATACCTGATGGTATGGTGATAGAACTTCAACAGGTTGGACAGTTTATAAAGTAGAACCGCTCCTGGCTCTGCAATGATGACCTGTTCTATCCGCACCTGGAGGGTGGATACAAAACCCACATTTATGTCACAGAAATACATTGGACCTACACTGTTAGACGTATCCAGTAGCTCAACACAACGAAAAGAAATTTAGCTGCTCACTTTGAGTGGCCTGCAGACTCCTTCAGTGATGTGTCCAATCACTTCCTGCATGTTTTCCTCTACACCTGATGTAAGAAAACGCATTAAAACAAATGTTGAGCTTGAAGGAAAATTTCTGACAAACTTTCCAAGAACTTATTAAAAACAACTTGCAGTAAAACACGCATTCAGTCCTTTAGGAAAAAGAGAAAACAACTGACTATTATTTAAACATATGATCAATTTAAAAGTAAGCATAATTACATTGATCATTGCTTGCATGAACAATTTATTTTTGATTGTTTAAAAAAAACAAAAAAAAAAACAAGAGTCTTTCTTGTATGTTAAGACCAGGTTGTATTGACAGCCATTTAGACAAAAAGCATCCAGCACTAACAGGTAAGAAGTTGTGTTTCTGAATTTTTTGGATCATATAATGATAATTAGTAAATAGGAAAAATCTTACCTTGAACGGTGACATGTTTGAGCAGGGCTTCGAGATGCTCTTTCTCTGAAGCGGTGGCTTGGTGCAACCAGGCCAGCATATCTCCAACATACCTAGGTAAAAGAGAGAGAGAGAGAGAAAAAGAGAGAGAGAGAGCAAAACACGCTGTATTATACAATACACAGCTGTGAGGCCAAACTCAGGGCTAATCTTTCCACGCTGTGACCACAACTACATCCAGGCATGGGTCATTGTGTTTCACTTACCTCACACATAAACAGCTTCTGTTGTTACATAACGGTGGAAGAGAGCGAGGTCAAGGCTAAATTATTGTGTGTAACAAGCCTGTAGGTCTGTTTGTGAGAACATAGGGTGGTGAGACAGAACTTCATGTTCTCAGAACTGTGTATGTCTCCTATAAAGTGGAGGTGATTTTGTGTGCTCTGAACAGGGCAGGTTTTTCTGAGAAAAACTACTCATTTAGCTCCTGGGCACAGAAGGAAGATGGAGGCACAATGTGGTACAAAGGAAACACAGACAGTATTAGGGGTCTTAGTACAAATACACGTTCAACAGTCGATCTCAAGTGGGACTGAGATAGCTTTAGACATCATTTTCTTGAGATTTTCTATATTATTATTCAATTAATTTAATAATTTCATTAGTCACACAAAAAAGCAGATGTAAAACATAATTTTACCTTCTGTTATTTCTCTTTGTGTTCCAGGAATATACATATATATATAGGTTTATATTTTTTCCATTTTTAGCAATGACGATTAACCTTGATTAAGCACACAATAAATACATTGGATTCACTGGGAACAAATTACCTAAGAGGGTCATGAGAATGCATCTCTATAGGTCTAGGAGTTCCTCCTGGTCCACCGCGGGTGAGGGCATCAATGAAGCCCCGTACCACTGCACACCTGCGTGCTGTCCCAAACTCATCGAGAGTGTACCTGAACAAACACAGATAAAATTGACAATCAGCACTGAATCTCCCTACCTACTGCCATGTGAAAATATGGTAGTCTCAGTGCTTTCAGTGCTGACTGCATGTTGGAGGTCAGGCCCTAACAATATTTGAATCAACACTCTAGTAAACTCTTCCAAAACGGGAAGAGTTTGAGGGTGTTTTGATTACTTTGTGGTGTGAGGCTGTGTGGCAGACTAAACAGAAGATAGAGCCAAATTAAGATTCCTCTGGTCCCCACGCTCTCAGCCCAAACATCACCAGCCAGCGCATGACCTTGGACACTTTCTGGGCAGTGTGACAGGTGCATTTCCGAGAATACAGGCTGAAAAAACTGACGTTGGGTAACGTGGGAAACCTTTCACTCTGATGTTGTTTTGATTACTGAAGACAGAACAGAGTAATTTTCAAATCTGCAGTGAAAATGTGGATGGCCCTTTAAATACTACAAAACCTTCTTCCCACTAAACCCTTGTAGACCTTTGTTTAAAGATGGAAGGATGGATTTGGAAATCAATTATGTTTAATGATTTCTCTCCCTTTGCTGTAATTTATTTTCTTTAATTTGTGTTATTAGATTTCTTTCATTCTAGCAGTGTGTATTATCTTGATTCATTTGTGATTTCTCCATTCAAGGAAAAACACAGCATAAACAAATATAATTTAATAATTTATATAAATATATTTGTAAACTGGTGTGTGTTATATGATTCATTGGCAAAGTCTAAACAGTAAATATGGTAAATAAAAAACAGTTAAGTGGATTAAATGGTTTAAAAAGGCAGACTTTTACATGTCATTTACAAAGCTCTTATTAGGGATGTAATTTTTTTGCACAGTTCTCAGTTTACAGTTTTACTTACTAGGTAATTTCTGCCAAAAAAAGCAATCTTAGTAGTATTGACTGTGTTTTTCTTGTATGATTTTTCTGCCATAGGAAACAGATGCAGTTGCTTGTCAATTGTTTTATCCCATTAGGATACTCTTTGTAGCTCTGCTGGCCCACATGGAATGTAAAAAATATATTGGATAATTAATAAATAATTGAAAAATAACTCAGCTGCTGTTATTATTCCAAGACACATATCACTGCCATTGAAATATAGTTAAATAAAGTCACTGATGTAATCATCCAGTGTCAGTTACTTGTAAAGGACTGGTCTGTCCTGTAGGGCCTCCATGGCTTGAGTGAGCACAGGGCTGATATCACATGTCTCCTGGTTCAGTGCTCTGCATTCATCTGTGCACAAGGAGAGAAAAGAGAGAAATACATTTAGTCCACATAGCATTTATAGGACCCTTTACTCCAACTATCTGAGTGAACTGCACACTCTGTACACACAAAGCCTTTGTCATGCTTCACTCAGTGTTGCAAAATGTTTTTAACTATGGCAACTCTGTTGACAAGACATAAATCAAATCAGCAACATTTCCCAATCATAGTTTCCAGTGTGCTTCGACAAAGGACTCTGTCTGCCTGTGATTCACACAGTACAAACAATCAACAGGCAGAGGCCATTTTTCTTAGGTTTTGGAAAAAGTGGGTCAACTTACTCCAGACAAGTAAAGGTTCTGTTGAAACAATGTGACATAACAACATCTTGTAGGATGTATATAAATTAAGAAATTGATGAAGATGTGGCTGAAGCTACTCCTGTGACTCAGGTTCATTTTTAAATCTTAAATTAACAAATGGGAGTCAATTCAGCAACGAGTCAGTCCCATCACGTTTGACTATGTATGACTATATAAATGTAGTTTTATTTATAGACACTCACATGATGCCTATATGTAACAGTTTATTTGAAATAGTAAAAAAACTAGACTGTTTAACAAATCCTCTGATGACAAAAAGCCTTTTGGAGGCCCGTATACTAGTAAAAGAAACGCACCAGATAAATGATCTTTGAAAACACAAACCGATGAAATAAATATGGAGAACATGTGCCCCAGGAGGGTAGAGTCGCTCAGTTCTATCCCTCAGTGTAAAGGTGGTGTTAAATCAGAGCAGTGCACTCACTCTGAGCCCAGCGATACAGCTGCTCATACGATGTCTCCTGTAACACGGCCATCTGCTCCATGATCTCTAACCTGAAACAAGTACACGAAAATCCAAGACACTGTTTAATACTCATGACTTACTTAATAATAGAGTCAAATCCCCTGAGTCAGGGACATGAACACTACACCCGGATGTTTTTTACCCCTTTTTTTTAATCTGATTCGACTGTTACACTGTTTGAGTTCAAAATAAATGCCAGGGATTTCAGACAGGTTAATAAGGTAACTGTGTCAGGTGCAGTGGAGTTCATCGAGTTAATACAGAACTCACCCTGCAGTTTGCTGATTGGTCCTCAGTAGGATTTTGACATCTTCATGGATTTGTTTCACTCGACTGAGAGCTTTGAAGAAGTCCTTAAAAAAACAAACAAACAAAAAAAAAAAACCATCAATTTGACATATTTATTGTAATTGTTCTGCTTTTTCTGTTCATCAGAGGTCAGGACTTTGGTCAGCAAGTCAAATTTTAAGCTGCTGCCTGACACAAAAGATTCCTATAATATTTTTTATATAGCAAAAAATAATAATTTTACAAATACAAAATTGTATCAATGAAAATGATCTAGGAAATCTGTCTGAAACTGAATGGCCTCTACACATTGTGTGTAGAGGCATTGTGTGCAAAGTAAAAATAAAAAAACTTTACTTTCACTTCCTTCACTACTGATACAACAATACTATACATGTACTTCACAATACAGTATAACAATCACTTTCATATGCCTTTTACTATAAAAATCAATGATAGTTGAGATTTACTGAAGGTAGCACCAGAATGGAGTATACCTCAGTAATGGGATTGTCCCGAGCCCCTCGCAGAGATGCAGTCTCCTCCGGAGTTAACTGGAATTTTGCAAGAAAAGCCTGAGCGACCTGAGCTCTCACCTCCAGGCGATGACTGAGAGAGGACGGAGAAAAGCTTTGTGATTGCTTTGTTTTTTTGTAAAATGACCTTTACAATGATATTTTACTGTTGGAACTGTTAAGAAAGCTATGTTTTGTCTTCATCAACTTCTAGCCAACAAATCTGCAGACTGTGTGTAGGTATCATTTCATGTGGATAAAGGTTTTTTGATGATTTAATGTCATTGTGAATGGGCTGCTGCGAAGATCAAGATCCAACTAATTCACCTTAGTTGTGGTGTAATAGTTAAACCTAGCAGCAGATGGCAGTCATGTTCCTCAAATCTAACTTGGCTCATGTGGCGTGCAGACACACAACAGGGCGGGACATGTAGAGGACGGGAAAGACAAAACGAATCTGGATAGTGCAGCTTTTGTCACTAACAACAGCGGCAAACTGATCTCTATCAGGGTCACCAGAAATGTCTCCACACAATTGTGATCATGGCAACCGCCTGAGTCAAACAGAGAACTCTCTCATGGGATAGCAGAATAGCAGTTAGTCCTTTGTCTGTCCCAATTTCTCTATGTAAACCAGCTCATCTATATTCTATCCCTCTATGTAATAGTGAGACAAGATCAGTAAATCACCAGGTTGTTATGGTGTGGGAGAAGAAACATCTCAAAGTGTTTGATTGTTGTCTCTGAATCAAGCAGCAAGGCTGTAAATCTGTTGGAGGATTCTGTGATTTGGTTTTTCTCTGAATGGCTCAAAAACAGGACCTCTGGGTATTTTACCCTTTCAGTGTTTTTAAGTAAAACTTTGTTGCAAGTCAACACAAAGAGGCTGCAGCTCGACTGGCTCCTAGCCTTCAGGGGTTTTAATGGTGTATACAGAGAAAAACAAAACAAGACTTCAAACCATGGTCTCAGTGTCATCATAAAAACCAGTGGCACTAATGGAACCTGGGGGAGACAGTGTAAGAATACATTAACCTAGAAAAGCTTTTTTGTGACATACTTTTACTTACAGTTGCCTGAAACAAACTACATACATTAAAAAGTAACTTTGGGGTTTCAACTTAGTGGTAATGCATTATGTATTTACCTGCCAGAGCAGACCCTTTAAGAAAGTAGTGGATGTAGGTAGTGACTGAGGCAAGTATCTTGACATGCATCAAGTGTGAGTCACACACAGATGTGGAAATAATGTAAGTTATACATTCTTTCTGTGCGGCACGGTACCAATTGACCCACAGACCGGTGGTTTGGGACCACTGTCTAAGATTATGATGTTAACATTGTGTCGTAAGTAAGTTGAGGACCCCCGTATACTGAGAATTAATATGAACATCCTCCCACATATAACCACTGAACCAGAGTCAAAGAAACATCTCTCGTATTTGAAAAAGCTACCATTATTAGACTAAACTGTTTTTTCTACTTTAAAGTAAAATAAATATCTTTAAAAACCAGCTGTTTAGCACTTAAAATTATTGATTCGTTTAGAGGTGAAACCTTTCATTCCAGTAACAGTTAATGCCCCACGCATCACTGTTCCAACACAAAGGAAAATGAAATATTGATTTGACAATAATTAAAACCTCAGACTGTTACGGAGCCTGATACCATAAAACAATTACAGTGGTATATTTATAACCAGCTATGCTAATGCGGTAGTCAATTGAACAAAGAGACGCATTAATTAAAGAAACACTTTCCATGTGAATGATAGTAGACACACACCCACACTAGAATGAGAAATAACTTGAAGAAAGAAAATTTTTAAAGCTGTTGAGCGATGAGACACTGGTGTCAAGCGATGAGATTTTGTCACTCCTATGTAAATCTATGCAGCACACAATAACACAAAGAGTATGAAAGTGGTTGGTTCCCTCCATGAAGACTATTTTCATCATTTTTTGGCTGTCTAGGTTTTATTTTTACATGGCAGCAAAAATTGGAAGGAGCAGAAATGCACAGAACATTAATCTGATCCCCAATGTGACGGGAAATTGATTGGTCGCCCAGTGGTTCTTAAATTTAAAATGCTTCATAAACCTTTTTAGACTGAGACACATTTGATATAAATTATTTGGAATTGTCCTTCACGAAGCATTGGTTTTTAGAAATGAAGATTTGGTCAAGACAAGATTTATACTACAATATACAATATAATACAATAACCCTCCAAGTTATTTAAGTGCATGATTTCCTCCACAAGTAACACCAGCGGCCTCAAACTCAAGTGAGCGCACACTGTACAGCCAAAAATGTCACCATCTATACACTCATTATTGCTCAAATACACCACTGATACATATTTTATTTACTGTGGAAAGGTTTTTGTTTCACAAAGTACATGGATCTTAAAAATTCCACTCAATGGCTTCAACTTTAGGTTAGCCGGTCGGTTTATGTTAGACCAGCCTCACTGAGCACAAGGGAGTAAATAAGTCTACAGCTGACAGCTGATGGCTAGATTGCAATGGACTGTAGACTGAACTTGCAACTCTCAGTGGGTTCTACACACCACAACCCAACTTTAATGACTTAAATCCACCATATGGATGAAACTACAGCGTTATACTTGTGTACTTTCAAGTCATTTTTGCTCCATCAGTATACAGAGAAAAAACTTTTGTATTTTTTGTCAGGAATGTTGACTTATCTGGATTAACCATGAATAATAATGCTCAACAATGATTGTGATTAATCATGATTCATTGTGACTAATCCAAAACTCAACTGTGAAAAATCTGATTCAGACTCTGACAGCCCCAATATCAACACATGGCCAAACATATTAACATGCTATCCATGTAAAGCCTATAACAGAGACAACGATTCATTCCCAAACTCTGCAAAAAGATTAAGTAGTTATTTTTTCTCTGTGCCTACACCAAAAGGAGCAGACCTGTTCTGCCAGAGTATAAATCACAAAAGGAACAGGAAAAAAGACAGGAGAGTTGGAGCTGTAACAACAAAAAGTAGAAGGGAGAGGGAAGGATAGAGCAGCATTATTCTGGTCTACAGCACTGTCAGGACATGACACATTCTCCTCCAGACTACAATTACCAAATACCAGAGAGAGGCAACATGCTGGAGTGAGCGTGGCAGTGTCACACTGTACAGATGAGCTATGAAAAGAGACAACGTGTCAAATAGAAACGTACTCAGGGATTTCATCAACTGAAAACTTGTGTAAGGTTAGAGTTGTCTTGTTGCAGTTTAACACATGATGATCGTTAGAATCTTCACCAAAACATCAATATAAAAACCCAAAAGAGGAGATTGTTACTATGTGAGCTGAGGTGACTGTTGCAGTTTTTTTATTCACTAATGAATCACAAAATGGTGAACGTTGCCAGTGCAGACTTTTACTGGATGATCTCTGTGAAACATGCACTCATTAAATAAAAGTCAAAAAAGTCAATTAAAGCCTTTACCTTCTCACCATCTTTAAATTCTTACAAAACTGTAAATCACACAGCTAGTTACTGATTCACATCCCCGCACCTAATGAGTGGAAAACTAAGTGGTGCCATCATCCATCTCAAACAATTAGAGACTGTTTCAAAAGAGAGCGGAAACGTTCGCAGTGCCAAAAAGCTGTTAGTTAACCACACACCAGTGATCAAAGAGAGCAGTCAGAGCCAGTCATACCTGACAGCACAGAGTCACGCTCACAGCCTTTCCCTCATTTACAGCCCACAGAGTTCTAATGAGTCTCAAGTGCTATTATACACTGGTAGTGAATTCCACTCAGACGTCCTCAATCTTTCTTTACAGGGTTTCAAGAGCTTTTGATTCGTTGATGACTGATGTAGAAAACCCCTCGGTGACATTCCCTTTGAATGGAAGGTAGTCTAAAAGAAACACAGGGATTCTTCACTTTTGATCTTTCATCATGTTAAAAGGAATTTACTGAAAGTTGTATGTGACTACATTCCACAAATACAGAAGTTATTTACTACTGGTTACTTAAGTAATTTACTTTACAATTTGGCATGCAGCCCAGTCAAACTACCTGAGGAGAAGCTAGAGAAGGAGGAGGTGACGGTGGAGATAGTAGAAGAAGCTAGAGAATGAAAAAAAGAGTGAAAAGAGGAAGAAAATGCATATGCAAAGTTGAGCAGGTGGGCAGCAGTACACTTCATTATAGCTGGCGCTCTTGATGACAACACTAACCCTTCAAACAAAAGAGCTCCATGTCTGAAAGCTGGCAGACAAACACAGCTTGTCAGCTCTCATTGGCCGGCCCTTTTAACTTCCTGTTTCTCCACAATGCCCGCAATTTGTTTTTCCTCTCAGTTAAATTAAAGTTGATAAATGACACCATGACAGGCAGCTAACATAGTAACAAATGGTGCTGGTCTGTGATGAGAGTAAACACACACTAAAAGCATTATTACAACGCTTTTAAAAAACTGCACTCTCAGTAGAGCTACCTTATAAGCACAAGCCTCAGATTAAGCCGCAAATCTTAGCTGAGCTGTTAAAAGTGTCATAAGTCCAATGACTACAAATGACTGAGACCTGAAAACCTCTCACTGTGAGGTGAAGTGGTGCAGTGTGGCAAATGATAGGTGGCTAATGGGGTAAAACTGTAATGTAGAGCCCAAACATGGGGAAATTGTCACAAACACAGAACCCAATTCATGATCGGCAACTATGGGTACCTCGCTTGTTTACTAGAGATGTTTTCTTACTGCCTGGCCTTCTAGGTTGTGCACACATCCTGATCGGGTTTGACTGAAGCACATAATGCCCATGAAGCAGACCTAACTAGGTTTATAATGATCACCCAACTTCCAATTTACAATGTAACTGATATGTAGTGTAGGGCAAGCAAGAGTGAAGGTTGTAAGGACATCCATGCTCCAAACAAAGTGACTATTAATTGATGTTGAGTATGTTCTACCTGGTGGTTTTTATTGGTGTCTTTCAGCCCAGTGGGATTCAAAACCATTTCATCTCAACACTTCCCCTTCAATTTCACCTTTTGTCATTAGGTGGGAAGGCAGCGTTAGCAGAGCGTAGAATTGCTGCAGTACATCACAGCTGTCGGCACTGTCTTTTGTCACAAATCTATATTATCTTCGCCTGTGTTGCTGCCAAGTGTCAGCTCGCAAGGTCAGTGAGCATGGAGGTCACAGACGCCACAAATGCTAATGAAAGTCCCGAGACCAACCCCCACACAAACTATCTAGGAATGAGGAGGGTGTGTACTTTCACATCACTGTCGACTGTCTGACGGACCTAAAGATTAATTTTGGCAACAGAATGTCAAATAAAATTGAAGAAAAAAAACATCATCCATCAGTATTTTAGGAGATGCAAATCAGTGAGCATCCAGGACACGTCGACTCTCCTCCACTAGTGATGTTTTGACCCAGTCATCTGCTTCATCTGCATATCTGATGACTCTCATTGTGTGTTGTTAGCCAAATTCAGAGGACAGAATCGAGAGTAAAAACATAATAATGGGCTGCTCTCCAGTGTTTTTAGTCTGACCTCACAGAGGACAGGGCACAGTGCATTATAAACAGGAACTGCTTGTTCAAATCAGGTGTACCTGAGCTGCATGAGTCACAGGTCAAATTGCAACACAACTATAAGACCGCATAAAACTATAAATCCCTACTATAAGACAGATTTTTATTAATCTTAAGAAATAATCTGTATATTTAATTTGAAAATAAAACAATATATATTACTACAAATAAGGTTAGGTTCCAGATGTCTGCACGCCTTTGAGACTTCAGATCCAAGAGTTGACAATTTTACAACATTTTCTGTATTTCAATGACAAATTAAGCCAATTAAAATAATAACTTGCTACAGCTGTAGCTGTAGTCATGTGAATTATCATCTATCGCTCATTAAAAATGAAAAGCACAGATTAAGGTCACCATTTCTTTTGAACCTAAGGAGAAAATGGAATGTCTACTCTTCACCTTGTTTGTATCTATATGTATTTTTAATTATTCTATATGGATGCTTCATTTATTTGTAGAAGATTATTTAAGGTTCTGACATGAGTTCACTCACCAAAACATGTAAACACACCAACAGTTCTTACTCACTTTTCTCCCTGTAGTTTGTTAGTTTTAACAATGAGATCTTGAGTTTGTTCCTTTGCAGCCTGGTGGAAAACAAGCAAATACATTTAAGATATATTTAAGATATATTTATGAGTAACTTTTTCGACTCTTTTTGTCTGATTCATTGCATTTTTTTGAGTACAACAATTGCTTAAGGGGGTGGGATGACTGACAGAGATCAGAAATTGGAAAAAATTGTTTAATTTCATTACTTGTATTATATTTTTTTTCATGGTCAAAACTGAGGCTGGTGTGCCACAGTCTCTGGAATTAATACACACAAATTCACCATTCTGCTTCTGTGTATTTCTTACATGTTGGGAATTACTAGTATTGGAAGGCAAATCTTCTTACTTCCAATGGGGTATTTTATATCATGAAGAAAAAGTCTGGACCTGGTTACAGGACTAAATTAGATTACTTTAAAGCAAAATGTAAGTGTCATTGTAATCTCCTCAGGGATTGAACACACAGGGACCAATAAATTGAAAACTTAATCTAAAATGTAATCTTATTCTCATCTAATCTTATTTTATCAGAAGGACAGAAAGTGTGCGTGGGCTGCATTTATTCCTTGTGTAGAAGTGATAAGAGAGCTAATTTATCTAAAACGAGTATTGTGTCTGGACACTTTAAAACTTTTACTGTACCTTCAATCTACTGGTCATTTCTTCACAACATGAGCTCATGGCCTGGACATCCTCATTGATACTTTCAAGCTCCTGTAAATAATGGAACAATGTGAGTGATACATAGGGCATGTTTTTTCTTTTTACTAAGTACTGATAAGTAATATGTACTTAAGTGCTTTAATTCTGCAAACAAATGTAAAAACATGGTTAGATGCATGTTTATCACTGAAGTGTTGTCTTTATTCCTGCTATAGTATGACATGTTATCAATTAATACCAGTTGGTTCACCTCATTATTATGATTACTCCGACAAGCTGCAAAAACATGTCGTATACCAAAAAACACAAAATGCTTTTCTAAATCTGTTCATGGTGGGTCCTACCTCTTTTACTTCTTTAAATATCGTTGCAAACTCCTCGTTTATCGCCAGGCTTCGTCTCTCTATGTCACCGCGAAGATTTCTCCTGGTACGTAAACTGTTTTCTGTGAAGAAGACTGATAAAGCCTTCAGAGCTTCCAGCATCTCCTAAAACAACGACAACATTTAAAAAACAGTTTGAAATACTGCCATTATAATGGGAAAGTCTGATGTAATTTGCACTTTCTGTGTAGTTTAACTTTGTATGCCACAGAACGTTCTTTTTATCAATATGCGATATCTGCTGTTCTTCATAAAAAGTATGATTTTTTTTCTTTTACTCGAAGAATACTTTACTAGTATGTAGAAACCGTAGCCTTCTTTCCACTGTTATGTAATACTTTATAGTTTTTGATTTGTATAATTAACTGATAGGTTTGGCTACCAGCTAACTAGTTAGCTGTTAGCCAAACCTACTCCCGTTTCACCTTGTCATTGTCGAGCCTCGTCTCCAGTATTTTGTTAAGCTTTCGTGACAGCGGATTATTAGGTTGAGGAGGTACATTTGCATTCTGAGAGGAAATAGAGTTGTCAACATGAATTTCGCTTTTAAGATCAGCCATTGTCTGCAACCACAGCCACGTCTACCAAGCTCCGGGATGTTTTGGTCCGTTTCGAATTAACGTCCGGGCGGTGGTAAAGGAGAGTAACTACGAAAGGTTCCGCGGTGGCGGACTGTTAATGTACGAGTAATGTATTTTCTGCTTTAGGAGGAGAGAGAATTTAACATTAATGTAATATTGTATTTATTTCAGTGGCGGAACAGTGAAACATACAGAAACATACATTCTGTAGAGAACGAGCCAGAGGGAGGAGTAGTAAAGGAGATGTTGCGACGTTTAAGTGCAGTTGTATTTCTAAAAATCAATTTAATTTAATCAATTTTTAAAATTTATTTATTTATTTAAAAAATCTACAACACAACATTTCTGTAACTACTAATGCCAACCAATTCCATAATCCTGTGAAGGAGAGGTCCACCACAGATAAAGAAACGAACATCCATACTCTTGTCCACACCAGCATGGTCAGTTCAGTGTCCAAGTTAACTCAACCATCCATATTTTGTACCAGCCCCTACTGGCCAACCGTGGTTCTGCAGTTAAAAGTACGGTTCTGGTAGGCGTCAATGTATGGAATTTGACACGGGCTTCAAAAATGTAATCATATAGAAAGTAGGAGAGACAAGCAAAATACACATATTAGATAGGTCTTTGCATTGGTTGCACAAACGCGTGACCATGTTCCATGGTTTTAGTTTGAAGACTTTTGTATGCAATTTGCATGAAAATGTATTTTTACGGTTCAGAAGAAGGGCTCAGTGAACGCACCACGAGCTGGTCCGTAATGATTGTTGCAGCGAGTTCAGCCCCTGGGTGGAGATAAGTGTGATTGATGGTCACCTCTCTCTCTCTCTCTCTCTCTCTCTCTCCCTTCATCCCTCCCTCTCTCTCCCTTCATCCCTCCCTCCCTCTTTCCAGCTCTCTCTCTCACTCTGTCTCTCTGTCTCTCTCTCCCTCTTTCTGTCCCACTCTCTCTGCCTCTCTCTCTCACTGCCCCCTCCTCTCTCAGCAGGCATGTGGAGTCCAGTCGCTTCAGTATTGAAGCTCCGCGCCTTTCAGCTTCTCCTGCACAGCATAGTGAATAATTCATCCTGTGCTCGGTTCAACATATTGATGATCGGCAACAGCATCAGCAGCAGTGACAGGAACTGATTTTTGACCCGATCCCACGTCCACCTTTTCCACCCGCAATTTTTGTTATTTTGGAGGATAAGGACAGAAAGTAAAGTTTGCCCAGAGCCGCAGCGTCGCTGCTGGGAGTCCACAGATGGAAATCACCCCTCTGTGCTCTTCACCTCATTGCCACAATATGTAAGTACATGTCTGCAGCCTGGTTCTTCATTTTTCTCCTTATTAACTTTCATAAGGTCGGTGCAATGCGATCAGAATGCAGTTTATTTTCCACTAAGTCACTTCCAACTAAAATAACCTCACACCTCTGTCAGGACTTCGTCCTTCAGCTCCTTTTTTATCCCAGTTTTCATGTTTTTTCCAAACCTAAGAAAATGTTATCAGGGTGGTATTTAGAGTTCTACTCAGAGCTTTAGGTAAAGTATACTGACTAAAAACCTAAAACTCTCTGCTCTAAATATACATAGTGTTGGAGGAGATTGATGTTGTTTATTTATTTTGTGTATATATTAAATACTGATATTGATGGGAAATTGCACATACTTTATGGTTATAACATTGAGCTCTCTGAGCACCTCCTTCATCTGTCAGTCTTATATTTTGTATTATTGCCACCAAAACATTGTTTTTAGATAAATTACTCAAATTTAATGTGTAATTGTACAACGAAAAATCAACAAAACATCCATAGTATTTTGTAGAAACTATATATCATCGTCCTGCTATATTTACTTTAATTTGGACATCGTTTTCTACTAAAGGAACATTTCTCCTTCCCATTTTCATATCTTAGTCCGAGGAGAGCCTGTCCACAACTATGCTGTGCAATTTGCTTTTAGGTATGCAATTTAAGGGTGCAGGGCATTTTAATTGTTGTACTTCATTTAAAAAGTTATATTTCATTTTTAGTATAAATTAGTATTAAAGTATTAAATAAGTAAAAACAAAACAAAAATTGTATTATGTGATCATTCTAATCTAGAATTACTCCTGACAATATGAATGAAAGAAAAACAGCACATTTTAAAATATCCATTGTATCTTGTCAAATTTCTAACTTTTAAAATCTGTACTTCTTCAGTATTGGCTTTTTGTAAATCAAAACCCTAAATCCTAAACAACTTGTTGTCACTGATGACTTTCCTGTCAGGGCTCAGCCTCCATCTGTCTCCTCTCTTCTGACAGGAAGCGGGCGTCTCTGCGAAGGTGAAAAGTGCTAGTGTTTAAGTGCACAGTGCAGCTCTCCTCACAGCAACTGCTCGTATCACTTCTGTTCGCTGAGAGACTGTGTGAACCACCGGCAGACTTTTCCACCATGGCGTCTAGTCTGACATGCACAGGTGTGATCTGGGCCTTGTTGTCCCTGCTGTGTGCTGCTGCCTCCTGCGTTGGCTTCTTCATGCCCTACTGGCTGCTGGGAACGCAGATGGACAAGCCCGTGTCCTTTGGTACGTTTCGGCGTTGCTCATATCCGGTGAGAGATGAAGAGAGGCAGGCCACAGTCATGCTGGAGCAATGTGGGCGCTACGCCTCCTTTAATGGGATACCAAGTCTGGAGTGGAGGATCTGCACGGTGGTGACAGGAGTTGGATGCGGCCTCCTTCTGTTGGTGGCACTCACAGCTCTCATGGGCTGCTGCATCTCTGACCTCATCTCACGTACCATCGGGCGAGTGGCCGGTGGCATACAGTTTGTTGGAGGTAAGACTGTTAATGTTGTGGTGGTTGCTTATGCCTTAACCAGCCCTGGTGCTGTCTTCACTCTGAGGTCCCTGACTGGGACAAAGTACAGAGACTCTGATAATCATTAAATATTGACTTACACCTGCTGATACTGTGCAGTTCAGCTTAGTAGGGTACAGTTTGGAATAAAGTCTGATATGAATGCCAAATGAATAGACTGGTTTTCAGTTTGTTTCCTTCAGTATCCATCCTTCGATTGAGCTGAACAGCAGCTGAATTAGATTGTTCTCAACCAATTCTAAATGTACAACATTGTGTACTAGTCTGAATATACAAAAACAGATGTGATCATTTTTTGTTTTTTTTTTTCCTTCATAATAACTGATAAAACAACAGAAAACCAAGCCTCACAGCAGCTACAAACATGGCCACAGTACGGTTTTCTTTCTGAGTCTACTCCAGAGGAGCGCCTCAAAGTTAAAAAGAAAGCCAGAGAGAGTTTTTTTTTCTTTTTGCAAAAATAGTTCCTTTCATGCTGCAGATTTTTCCATTGAAACGTCTTCTTTGTTTGTTTGATTGTAGTAAATGTACACCACCCCACTCCACATGGCACAGGATTTGTCTATGTATCCTGTTGGTTTTGCACATGTGTTCTCCCGGGACAGAAGGTCTGCTGGTTTCTCCGGCCCAGTTTAAGAAGCTGTGGCGCTCCAACCCTCTCATTAACTCAGAAACGTTTGCTTGCATACTGTGGCTCACCCACCACTGCTATTTACAATCCCCCATCACTTCAGCGTGGCTTTGCAAAAAATTGATGTGACAGACGAAGCAGGTTGCAGGCAGATTTGACAGACTTGACTTGTTTTTTTTTTTAAGAAATCTTCAGAGAGCCACCACAACACACCATGTCCTAGTTGTAAAGGCTTAGCTCCTCAGAAGCCTCAGAAGTATTAATGATGTATTATAGGGTGGATGATTAGGGTGAAGACTAAATAAGTGCATTTTTAATGTAGAGGTGCTTTAAAAACATGTAAGAAACTCATCTGTAGCATTACATTAACTTGATATTTTTAGCACTATATGCTAAAAAATACCTTTTTCAGTTTCTTGTGAACATTTTCTTAACCCATTGCTTTCAAGGCAGAAAAGACTTAAAGGGAACATATGTCACTGAAAATAAAATTTAAAGTACTGGAATTGTGAAACTCAACGGGCTTTTCCTCTCTATCTTCTTCCCTGTCGTAGTCACTAACAAGAAATAAAGAAATGTGGTGCCTGGCAGAGAGACTCGTGTTGGCACAGACAAAGAACCTGATAATTGAAACATTCACTTCTAAATGAAGGAGACAGACTTGACGAGATGTCAGGACCTGCAAGGCATTAACAAAAAATTTACAGAGCGATATGATCAAATCACAGCGAGATAGTCATCCTTCTTCCCTGTTCTTTTTGTTATCCACCAATGAGAAAGAAATGACCTGAAGGAAAGGCACCACCACCACTGCCTCTGACTCCCACAAACATGAACATGAACATCATGGCCTTGTTGGCGAAAAAGACACGCCAACAGGTTTGATTTGTAATATGTAATATGTAATTATACAGTGAAAATTTGAGTTACATTAGCACTAGGAACCGAAACCGAACTTCGCCCAAAAAACCTCAAGCGCCATTATGATTCAGAACATCAACTATTTCTGGACTGAGTCACTGTTTGTCACTGTCATTAGTGCTGTTTATTATTTTACCTCTGTTCCTGGATAAGTCCATTAGAGGTGTTAAATCAGGAAAATCAAATTTCCACTGAAGCACAGGGTTTGACTGTGATTGTAAAGGGATGAGACTGTTCTGGCTCACAAATCGAAGGCTTAGACTTTCTGTGCTGCTTTAGTCAAACAACTGCATTTCCTGGAGTTTCTTGTCTTAGTGATGCAGTGGAAAAGTCTCCCAAAATCTGCAGCCCTCACCAGGGGTTTTACATATTGTGAACACAAACTTCAGGGCACACACACACACACAGACACACACACACACACACGCCCTGCAGAGATTTCCATGGTGTCCCTTGGTGCACACAACAGAAAAAAAAGCTTTTACTTGTCAAGATTTGATCAGTGATTTGTGAAATGATTGATTGAAATAGAAATGTGCAGTGAATAATGTACGCTCTGGTGTCTTTTTTTTCAATTTGTTACTTTCCGTTCTACACCTGATGGGCAGTTACGGTTGGACATTGATTCTGATAAGCTCAGGTGATCAGTGCTCTTTATCTCTCTTTAAAAAGAGGGAAAGTGAAAGTTGAGGACGTCTGCAGCATGTGGGTCAACGGGGGATGAGTTGTTTGTCCCAGTGTATACCTCATACTCTGTCCAGATGTTATCCGTGGCCCATGTGCCAAAAAACGAGGCAAATCAACACAAGTTGGAAAATAAAGAATATCCAGAACTCTGACCTTTTAAAACACTCCATTGTCAAACCCAATTGCTGCTTTTATGTAAATGAGCACTTGAAATGAAGGTCAAATATACTCCTCACATAAAAACAAACTTAATACAAGCAATAATTAGCACTGTAAAGTTTAATTTGAAAAGATGAACAGCTTTTTGCCACCAACAAAAGAGCAGCTTGAAACAAAGCCATGTGTTTTCTGAACCAAAAGAAAAGACTGTATTCACGTTGTTTTGAATCATGCGTAATGCAAATATAAACTCACTCCAAGTGACCAATAATTCTGCCCTGTTGCACTTGAAGGGCAGTGATTCACCCGGAGGTCCCACTTGCAGTATTCTCTGGCTGTAAAACCACCACTTTATTCACGTTCTCGGGCAGAGATTGACTGTTACAACGCTTTAGCTGAAATTATCGTAACTTATTGCTTTGACCATCTGAGAATGCCATCGTGTTTGATATCCTTCTGAGCCTTGATAAAAATGTCAGGAGCAACAGCTTCTCAAGGCTAAATGATTGAGACTATATTTTATGGAGAAGATATTGAACTGTTCTGTCCTTGGAAATAATTATGAAATGACAAAGTGGGCAATATAATATATGGAAGGCAGTGTTTGGACTTTTGGGGATCTTTGCTGAGTTGGTATGTAGGGTATGAGTAGAGGACATTACAAAGAGTAAGTCACTGCTGTTCCACACAATGTGAAGACCGGTGAAATATGGTGTCCCAGAGGAATGTGGGAGAAAATAAACAGCTCAAAGCAACATATTTCACTGACCTTAGCGGGGTTGTGGTCAGCAGATATTCTCTGGTGTTGTTTGTGAGGATAAGAACCAAGAACATCTACACGTTTTGAATGTTTCTGTCGGCAGTTATAATTGATCAGTTATGTAGTCACTTTCATTTCTGCAGTAATACAAAGATATTCTTGTTTTTATCTGAAAAACTCTTTACAGATGAGATGAAAAAATAAATGTTCTAAATAACAATCTGTCCGATGGTCAGAAAAACAAAAGTTAAAGTAGAACAATTAAGAGAAACAGGGAACGTGTAGATGCTTCTGTCAAACTCATCAGGACTACGGTGCATAATAGTTACAGACTGTGAAAAAACTATTCATTGTTTTGGAAAAATATTCTGCTACAGAATGATCCCATATGGATTTAGGCTTCTCACTCCTGATGGAACACAGTTTTCGGCAGTGCTGGGTAAACACACACTCATCACCTCAGCCTTGGCTCGTGCTGCAGTTCGTCTAATATATCATATTATTGGTTGAATTGTTTTGTAGGGAAGCTTTTAAATTTGCTTACCACACTATTCTGTTTGTTTACACCTCAGTGCTTGTATTTAATTCATCCACAAGGACCTGGTGTGTAAGTACGTGGTTAGTACGAGGCAGCAGTAAATTAAGTTCAACACCCTGTTGGACTTCACTGAATTTAGCTGCATTTAAGTGACATCATCTGAATAACTCAACAGACCTACCCAGACTGATATGTATCTACAGTATACTCGTATATACAGCATGTAGATATATATCTCTACATATATATGCAAGTCACAAGCACAAATGGGAAGTCGAGGGGAGGGAAAACGAATGTTACAGTAAAAGTGTTATTGTGGTCTTCACAGTGTTGCCAGTGGCTATTTGGCATATAAATGTTCTGCCCTGCTTGACAACCATACCAGCACAGGGCTTTGTCCTTGTGCTGTCTATGTGAGTTCTTGCCAGCTGGATCTCACCCAGTGTGCTTCCACTCCCCTCTCACCACTCACACTTACTTTCAAGAGGTAGGCAGAATCAACATGACATTGCGTCCATTTAAGGAAAGCTTTAGGATAAGGAGCTCAGGTTCCTGGTGGGATATTCCATCTGGAGGAGTGTCATCTGACTTTTTGTTGTTTAATGGTATCGGATCACAAGACACATCCTGAACAAGGAAGTAAATAGTGCTGGATGTGTTGTGTTATTGTTTCACGTCTATATTCCGTATTCATGTATCTTTGTATTTCATGACTCCGTTTTGATGAAGATAACCTAGTTTGCCCTGTCTCCAGTTTAAGCGATGCAAGGAAAAAATAGCCACATAGAACATGTTCAGAGAAATCTTTTCACTTCCTATGAAGGATGTTTAATGGATTATGAAACATTATCTTTGCTGCTTGAGTTTCCGGTTGCTGATGGTTATAAAGTGAACTTCCCTGCCTGCGAGGGTGATGGATCACCTAAAGTGCCGACCGCACTGGAAACACTTTAATGTGTTCTTTCAGACTCACATCTTTTTTTTTTTTGCCCTGCAATTCTCTGAAACTTACAACAATGTCATAAGGGTGTTTAGAGTCGGGGGCTGGGGGTGGGGCACAAAGAAATGCAGTCGGTGTGTCACAGGCAGTCAGTATTTTCCTTCACTCTGCTGGTCTGTTTTTTTCCTGAACCATTCATTCCTCCCAGGGAGAACTCACCTTTCTTTCGAGGTTACAGTTTCAGTCTGTAACTCTCATTTCAGCTTTGTGTAACCTTTCCCCTAATTTAGCTTTAAGCGCACCCCTGTGTGTCCTTCCCATT